AGTGCCAGACTTACTTTCTTATTTAATTAAGAAAACTTTTCTTATTCTTTTAACTTTTTTTATTTCCTCATTCTCTAATGGTATCCAAACCGCTAGCCCTCTCACCCCCCCATGTACTGGTGCCTCCATCAGCTAGCTGGCTGTTGTGGAGGCACCTGTGCACCCGTGTCTATAGACACACACAGTGTGGGGCCGGCCACGACCACACCCTTGAAGTAACAGTTTGACCGACAGCAGAAAGAGCTTATGGCTCTTCTGCCCTCAGTACTCTCCTTCACAACCAGGAAGTTTGAGGAACCCACCAGAGTATCTTCCCGTTCGTGGCAGAGGATACAAGCAGCTACAGGTAAGTTTGGGGGGACGGGGGATTTAGAAAAGTACTGGGTGTTTGTTTGCCTTAATGCAGAGAATGCATTAAAGCGACACTAAACTCAAATTATATAAATAATCAATGACTGTGTACCTAATATTGTAAATGTTTAGCTCTAAATGCTCCAAAATCAGTTTTATTTTTCTCCAGCCACAACTTTCTGCCAGAGGGTGGCTACTTTTCTTCTCCATGGTCCCTATGGGAGTTGAAAAGTAGCCACCCTCTGTGCTGGTTCATGTGAGGGACTACAACATGCTGAGGACGTGTCTTCTCAGTCTCCACCCACAAATCCTCCCCTCTAGACTCTGCGAGGAGCTGGGATTTCTTCAGCTCTCCCACACTAATATATTATCTTTGATTTCTCTACTCCGGGCTCACCAAGGAGGGAGTGTGGGGGGGGAGGAGAGGAGATTCAGCTTGTGAGCTGTCACCGGGCTCATACTTTCTTCCGAGTCTCCTCTCACATGCTGAATCTGGTCACACACTCAGAGGATACGGCTCCAACGTTTCAAATAAATTAGTTTTTCTGTGCAGATTGATGTAAACTTGATGTTTGTTGTAACTAGTTTTGATAATTCAGAACATTGCAGAGGAGATTACAAGCGGTGAAACTATCAGAGTGTGTTTAGTGAGGAGGGGCAAAGGAAGATGTGCCAGTGACCAGAATCAACATGCACGCTCTTTCAAAGTGACAGGAAGTGTGAGGGGAGAGAAGAGCAATAGGAGCAAGCACGGCAGACTTTCTAAAGGGATTAAAATAGTAAACTTTATTTTAAAACATAAATAAATGTGGATTTAGAGAATGTTCATTGTGTAGATGTATACAAGGAGAAAAAAAAGCTGAGGGTTTTGTGTTGCTTTAAGGTAAAAAAAAAAAAAAACCCAGCCTTTAGTACTATAAGTAAAAGCTCCTTAACACATTTTTTGGATATAGAATACAGATCAACATCAGACTTACTGGGGAAAGATGACAATTTGGATAAAACAAATGAAGCAGAAGACCAACAGGGTGCACGCCACATAACCTCCAAAGCGATCATCCACTTTTTTGGAATACTGTAATATAAAGAAAAAAGAAGATTTAAAGAGGAAGTTGCACTACTCCGAGTAGCAATCCCCTTCTTGTGATAATACAGCAAACAATTACAAATGACAACAAAATAGTACTTTGGGCCAACTAATCTGATACATTTAAATATGCATCAATACATTTAATTTTATTTTATGATGGCTGAAATCATGCACAGGTTACATAGTTACATAGTTAAACTGGAACATTATAAATACCATTTACACCCACAAAAACATTGCCTTCATTAAGATAATTATTCACAAATGTGAATAAAATTAATGTATTTTATTTTTTTTAAATGATAACGCACACCCATAGTTCTTTGTTCTGCCGTATTTTTCTTCACTTATTCTTTACTTTTTTTTTCTTCACTTTTGTCCTTAAAAATGCAAGTGTTCTTAAAGGAGAACTATGGGGTCAGCGTCCTCCCGTCACCCTAAGATCAGTATATACTGAGACGCCGGAGCAGATCCCGACATCGATGTCGAGATCCGCCCAGCTGCGTGAGTGACAGCTGGCTCTGCCTATCTAGAGGCAGAGCCAGCTGTACCCGCCCCCTCCTACGTCCGTTCCGCCAGTCAGCGCTGGTGGATCGGAGCGGGGACGGGGGAATCCAGCCACTCCCGTCACTGCAGAGAGCCGTGACAGGATCGAGAAGTGAGCGAACACCGGTATGTGTTCGCTCACCTCCCGATCTACTGAGCCGACCTGTGACAGTCTCATGTCACAGGTCGGCTAGAACTATGAGGTGAGTGAAAAGCTCACCTCACTCCTAACCTCACTCACTATGAGGTGAGTGAAAAGCTCACCTCACTCCTAAACGTGAAAAGCACTCACCTCATAGTTCTCCTTTAAGTTTCATTTTGCAGCACTTTTTTTTAATCCTGTTGAAGTCCATTTGCATACATTTATACTTAAGAGTTTTAAAGGGTTGAATCTAATTTTGTATGACACTGCAGTCATGAAAACTATGGTTGTCAACTATCCTTGCTTGCTGGGGACAGTCCCCATTTTGAGTGGTCTGTTCTTGGCAAACCTGGAGTCGAGATGGTCTCCAGGTGAAAAGCATCCCTAGTAGCAGAAGTGAGTACAGAGAAGGTGCAGAGGCGAGCAAGCACCGACAGTTACTGCACACAAAGCTCTTCTATACAGTGCCTTCTAGTGTCCCTTCTCCCTAAACACAATGGTTCCTCTCACTACAGGTAGACTTAGGCCACATGCCCTACATAGCTGGGCAAACAGAAGATACCAGAAAACTTAAAAGACATAGCGTCGCTCTTGAGTGAGTGTGGCATAAAACTAGGTTCCTGCAAGACTTCACCCTGTATAAAGCTGCCCTAAAATATAACTCCTCTCTGCTGCCCAACAGACTTAGTTTGTCACTCTCATTATCACACTC